TGAGGAGGGAATTGTGGGCTGTGAGGGTTGTGAGAGCCTGGCCCAGGTTGCCCAGGGAAGCTGTGGCTGCCCCATCCCTGGCAGTGTTGAAGGGCAGGTTGGATGGGGCTTGGAGCAACCTGGGCTGGTGGGAGATGTCCCTGCCCATGCAGGGGGTTGGGACTGGATGGTCTTTAAGGTCCCTTCCAACCCAAACCAGTCTGACATTCTGTGATTTCCAAAGGATCTTGTCTCTCTGTGCCTTTGGAAATCTCAGCTGAAAAGTATCTGTGGCTCTGCCAGTGCTGGTGAAAGGCAGCTTTTGTGTGTTACCTGTGCTGCTCTCAGTTTGAGGTGGATCTGTACCAAAATGAGTCAGCCTGCCAGACCCCACTGGACCGGCAGTACCATGAGGAGATCATGAAACTGGAGAAGGCCGGAGGTCGGAAGAACTGTCGCATCTTCACCTACACTGATCATGACCGGTTCACCAATCTAGAGGAGGTACCAGCTCTTAATTACACATCATCTACACAGTAGTGTCTGTCAGAACCACCAGGCCTACTGGAGATAGCCGTGCAGAAGCAATACAGATACCCTGCAGGCAGGAGAACATGCTGCTTCTGCAGAGCAGCTTCCCCTGGTGCCCCAGACCTCGGTTGAGATCTCCCTGTTTTGGAAAGATGCTCAGGGGCAGCTTGGAGGGACTTGGTGTTGTAGGACCTGGTAACTTCCTGGATGGAGTTTGGTTGTATGAAATCTACAGTCTTTTACCAGTTTGTCCTTGGATGAATGTGTCTCCACACCTGTTCTTTCCTCCAACAGTGGAGATGCTTTTGGGAAAGATGTTCTGTTCTCTCTTCCAGCACTGTCAGAAGGTAACTGACTCAGACCATGAGGTTCCATCATACCTGGCAGAGAGGATGGCGAATGTGAGGAGGAGAAGACAAGACCGTAGGCTGATGTGAGTGCAAACTGGGGCTTGGAAGCTGTTAGTGCAGGTTCCCTGGTGGTGGTTCCCCAGCTGCAGAGCAGCCTGGTCTGGGGAAGTTGGTGGCCTGAGCTGTGTCCTACTTGGAATCCAGCAGTTTGACTCCTCGTCGTGGGGGGTTTGGTGCTGCCTGTGCCAGGCTGCTTGGGTGAGCTGTGACTTGTGCTGGTTTGTTGACAGAGAAGCAAGTTCTCTGAAGTCAAAAGTCATCACCTGGGAACCCTCAGAAGAATTTATAAAGAACAACCATGTGATTAACACTCCTGTCCAGACCATGTACATCATGGGGGATTTGGGACCTTATGGGAAGTAAGTAAAGTCCTGAAGTGACCTTAATTTCCCAGAACTAAACCCCATCTTCTGTCCTTACTCAAATCTCCTCTTTCTTTCATTAGTTAAGGGGAGGTCAGTAACTTGGGCTGCTTTCTCTTTCTGCCTCTCTCCTCACTTAGGAGGTAACTGAGTGTATCCCTTCAAAAGGCTTCCTAAACTCATGTAAGGAAGGATGAGTGTTTGTTCCCATCTGTTCCCCCATGGGCCTTTACCAGCTTTGCTGTCCTAGAATAAGAAAGTGTCCATGTTCTCTACTTACCCTGTGCTTCCTGATGTCTTCCCTTAGGCTTGGTCACAGGGAGTATGAACATGTTCTTTGCACGGTCAAGGTGGATGGCAATGGGGTGATCACAGTGAAACCTGACTTCACTGACACTGCCTACTGGTGAGTGAGACAGGGCTGGAACCTCTGGTGGGACTGGCACTGAGGGCTGACATGGCTGTTCCCTGCTCACCCTTCAGGATCACCACGTAAACTGAGGGATATGATTTACTTTTATTTCAGAAATGTATTAGACAAATTATTGAGTGCTGCTTGTGCTTGGTGTCACTGTGTGTGTGATGTGTGGGGCTTTTGTGCCAGGCTCTGCTGGCCACAGGTGGGTCTCCCTCTTTGGGAGTGAGGAGAGGGGGTCAGTGCCCGCATGTCCCTGCAGGGGCCTGGGAGAGGGGGCACCACGGTGGGCACAGGGGTGCTGGTGCTGCCTTTTCCTAGACTCTGCATCATGGGGGGGGTTTCCCCCTGTGTTTTGGGGCTCTGCAGGATCGAGCTGGATGGAGAGAAGCGGGAGGTGTGGAAATACACCATTGAGAATGCATCTGTCCAGGTGCAGCCAGAGGAGGAGGAACGTGAGCAGCGCGTGTTCAGAGACGTAAGGACCAACCTCCACTGAGCCTGCTGACCAGGGCTCACTTGACAGAGGGACCTCAGACCCTCATGGAGGTGGTTGTCACCTCAAGCTGACAAAGTGAATGTCACTGGCAGTGAGTCTCCCAGCAATCTGAAAACTCCAGCAAATACTTCCTGACTGCTTCATTCCTTACTCTAGGTGGAGGCATCATCTGGTATTAAATCCAGTTTTCCAGAGCTTCTCTTTCC